TGCAGCAAGACCAACCTGCTGTAAGGAAAGTAATTGTATTGTTTTCTCCAACCAATTTTAAATACTAATTTCAACTAATTAAAAAGCCCTGATCTACAAGTAACTCTCACACATGCACATACACACATACCAATTCAATCTTTGTAAAAATGAGCTAAAGTAAAGTAAAACAAACTAGGGATCACAAATAAAGCTGGATTCTGACAGTAAAATCTACAACAAAAAAGAAAAACAAAGAAATGTATTACAAAATCCAGCATTATTTCAACCACAGTAATATTCTAAACTACTAATATGAACTGCTTAACAAAGAACAAGTTTCTATCAAATAATTAACCAAATACCTGTAAGAATCAAAGACAGAAGAAATGCCAAAAAATTAAAATGAGCTCAAATCATGCAAATGTCTCTTACACATGGATTCACAACCAAATATACATGAATACTCTGCACATGTACGTATGTATGGCTTTATGTACAAGGGAATTTATGCACATCGTTTGGTCCTTTTCAAACCATTCAGGCATCTCAACTGTTCCTTGGCAAAGTAGTGCAAAGTCTAATTGGAAATCTTTTCAAAATTTAATTCAAGTGTACAGTACTCATGATTGTATTAGTACATGTGGGCATATAAAACCCGATTACTTTCGAAAGCAATGATGAGCATATTTGTACACGTATATACACATGGGATCTTAGAATCAACAAATTCCATTAGTTACTACTTAGTAATCTGATGACTAATTAACATCAGTTTGTAAAAGACAAAGCTCTGGAGGGAGAAAGTGCTTTAGAAGAACATACATATATTTCAACTCGGAATTACCTATGCACCCCCTTTAATAATAATCGTGGCTTAATATATACTTAAGATTACCTCCATCTGATTCCATAAACACTTATGAAAAGGTAAGTCTATAGAAGACACAATGATTATATCCAGACATAATGACAAAGTATCGCTTATTTAGAAAAAGGAAGAGTGAGTGGACAATGCAAGCAATGATGAACTAATGGTTTATCATTACAGGAACAAGCCTTTAGCTCATGCAGTCCTGCCTACTGTCTTCTCCTCAAACAGGAATACGAAGAGTCAGGAATTTTTTGAGTCTGTTTTTAAATAACAGCAGCACAATTTACTGTTACACAGAAATACAGCCAGTGTGTGACCCAGTCTGATCAAGAATATACCTACTGTGATGCATCAGTAATTCTCATTAAGAAACACGACTAAGCCACACAATGACTACAGAAATCCTTGACCATTCTCTACTACTGCATTCCATGAGATGACTTAGCTGAGCCTCAATAATCTGGCAGGTGGTTGCAGATATGTGAAAATATTTACTGATCTGCCATGGTCACAGTAATTTTTTTAAAAAAAGCATTCTGAAAGCATGCTAACAGAAAGGGAGAGGAAGATGAAATTGAATTGTCATTTGAAGACCATTTTGTCTTCACCTAAAATGCTGCACCTAAAATGTTACCATATGTGTAAGTATCTGCCTCTGTCCACCAGCTGAAAAAAATGACTGACAGGATGGAAGCAATTACAGTGGTGCCTTGCACAACGATGTTAATTGGTTCCAAAAAATTCATCGCTGTGTTAAACCATCGTTCTGCGAAACACCATTTCCCATAGGAATGCATTGAAAACCGGTTAATCCGTTTCAATTGGAACGGATTGCCGTCCTTAAGCGAAAATCGCCATAGGAAACATCGTTGAGTGAAACCTGGTTCCCCAATTGAAATGCATTGAAGCCGACTCAATGCATTTCAATGGCTTTGCGAAGTTCTTTTTCGCTCCTGTAAAAGTGTCTTAAACCGTTCAAAGGCTTTCAATGGAGAATAAACAAATTCACCAAAAATTAACGACAACTCAGAACAACACCAAATTAAGTTTGCATAGGGTTCAGGAGGTGGGCTAACGATTGCAAGCATTTAAAACAGGTTTCTAACAGTTTAAGACACTTTTACAGGAGCGCAATAGGGACATCGTTGAGTGAAATTCCCCCATAGAGAACATCGTTAAACGATGGGGGGAATTCCTCAAACCCATTGCTGTGTGAATTCGTCATTGTATGAAGCAATCGTTGTGCGAGGCACCACTGTACAGTCTTCATAGGTACAGAAGACAGTTTTGAGTCTTCAACACTATCTCATTGTAAATCAATATCTCAGTGTCTAACTCGCAAATAATGTATGTAATTATATACCACATCTTACATTGTCTCTCCTTTATGATACATTTTGCAACATATTCCATTTACATGGAGTTTTAAATCATTCTTTATATAAATTCATACCAACTTTAAAAACTATGTTTTCTAAATTACTTCATTTTCTTTTTATCTGAACTAGAATAAGCTTTCCCTCCATGCCAATAAAATCAAACTGTAGTTCAAAATCATTTGTTCTGTAGTGCCTGTAATTCAAGCTTATTACATGTGAATGCTATCAACAAGCAATTCACATTCAGAAATTCTCAGAGAAAAGAAAGCCTTGGTGTACTTGAAAAACTATTATAAAATTGTCCATAAAACTTAGCATAAACTTTAAGCTATAGAGCTGTCACCAGTAATATGCAGGATAAATTCTAAATTAGGTAGAATGTAATAAATTGAATGTATTTTCAGCTATTATACATATAATTCCACCTAGCTTTGTTTATTATCTTGAGGCAGCAAGAAAAGTCACTGAGAAAACTTGTGAGGCTGGTACAGTAACGGCACTTAAATGAATGATTCCCAATGCTCTGCCAAGGTATAGTTCCCTCTCTTCTTGGCAGCCTTTTAGTTCCTGGTAGCTCTAAACTATTCATCCTCAAAGTATTCATAGCCTTGCTTTAGCTGACTTGAGCATCAGGGCTTCCACTCACTTTTCCTTTTCTATATATTATTTATTTATTTAAAATATTTCTAGCCTACTTTCTCCTTAAAAAGGACCTAAGGTGGCTTCCATCATTAAAAGACAGTATTTAAAGCTAACAGTAGTAACAAAAGCAATACTAAAAACACATTCAAAGCAGTAAGATACAACAATCCATCTAAAAACGTCACTCAGACACCCATTCAAACAGAGAAAGCTTGCCTGAGAAGAAAGATGTTCACCTGCTTTTGGAAAGACAGCAAAGATGAGGCCAGTCTGGCTGTAGAGAGTGGGGTCCCAAAGTCTGGGAGCAGCAACTGAGAAGGCCCTCTCCCATGTTCCTACCAAATTCACCTATGAAGGTGGTGGGACTGAGAGAAAGGCCCGATGATCTTAACACCCAAGCAGGCACATAAAGAGAGTTGTGGACCTTGAGACAGCTTAGACCCAAGCCATTTAGGGCTTTATAGGTGAGAACCAGCACTTTGAATTGTGTTGAAAAATGGACTGACAATCAGCAGAGCTGCTGTAACTTTCTCACCTGCTGCTTCCTCTTCCACTCCATTGTCCTGTTTCTTCACGAAAAACATATACTCAACATTTTCCTCATCTTTAAATTCCCACTTGTTCACAATGAAACCTGGCTCCTTCCCTCTGACACCACCACCATTGTCCCCCTCACACATTGGTCTGGAAGCTACAGTGGTGGTAGATCACCCCAGCCACTTGCATTTCCACCTCTACTTCTCAGCACACATTGACTTTCTTCATTTCATACGATACACCACTTTTGTACTGTGATGCTGTATCAGCTGATCCCATGGCTAATTCCTGGTTGCTAATTCCCATCTGTTCTCAATTCTCTACAATATATAATAATTTATTTCTTCCGATTCACTCCCTATTGCATTCAAGCAGACCATTATTTATTCTCTATTCACAAATAAACCATTAAATGTTTGCATCTAAATTCTGAAAGCATCCAGCTTACAATTGTCTTGATTCTTTCTCACTGAACTCTTCCGCTGACTTGCTACAACCATACATATATATCAAAAAACAATTTGTCCCCTAAATAACTTTTCACAGGCCATTACACTGGAAAAGTGGGCTAGAATATCCTTTTCCCCACAAAATTCTCCTCAAAATCCAGTATTTCTGTGACATTTCGGTTCAACCTTTTAGGCTACACATTTTGCAGCTATCTGGCCCAAATCCTGTTGCTTAGATTAGTAAACTGCACTACAGCAGGCCAATTGAATCAATGGAGATTTGGTGACTTAACTTATCTTGTAAATTCCAAGGATTGAAACATGACTACTCTATCAATTACTTTAGCTTAGGAAGTTGAGTGATAGTAAGACCATTTGAATAAATAAAACTAATGACAGGGTTGATTCATCCCCATTCAATGGGGTTGGTCTAGTGAGATTTAATATGCCAAGCAATAGGATTTGGGCCTCTCAATCTATGCATGCAATGGGAAATGCACCACATATTCATATGCAAAGTGTCTCCTCTTCACCAAAGAACTGCAGTTGATTGCCATTTCCAACCTCACACATTCTCCAACCCAAGGCCAAATTAGTAGCTCCCTGCATGTATGCTATTCAGGAAAGCCCCCTGAAATTCAGCAGAAGGAGTTGTGGTTAAGAACAGGAAATTAGAAATCCCTGTTGCATGAGCAGACTCCTATCCACAGTTATCTGGATCTGGTTATTTTCATAACCTGATCAAAACAGGATCAGCTGAAGATTTAACACAAAAATAGTTGTCATGAATGATATTTTTCTAGCTGAATTAAATTAATCAGCCTGTAGCAATATTAGTACAGGAAATATAGTGTACAATATATTTCCTGTACTAATATTGCTACAGGCTGATTAATTTAATTATATAGCAAATATAATTAAATATACTATAGCAAATCTATACTATAGCAAATCTTGTGTCATTTTCAGTAATAAATCTATGCACAGGAGAGGTAACTGGAAATATCAAAAGAGATATCCAAAAGATAGTAAATCTTTAAATAACTTACACTCGATGTACATCTTAATTACAATAAAGCTACTGGTTTCAGCACATATTTTGGGAAAAAAGGCAATAGTTTTCTTTAAAAGGATGCTTACCATGGAAAGATGTTAATCCGTACCCTGTTCTTATAAATTAGTATGCCTCCTGACATAACTCCAATCATAATTTCATTGTTACTTTGATCCTAAAAGATAGTGTGAGAGAAATAACATGAATAAAATAGCTACTTATGAGTACTCTTTCTCACATCAGTAAATGTGCAAACATTCCCTCCAGATGAACCTGCAATGCCTATAAGGTGTTCTCTATAAGGTGTTCTCTCAGCCAACATGTTCTATGGATAGAATTCTGCTGTTGTTCATGTAAAGTCTGCATAACTTGCCATAGCTAAATGCGACTAACGGATGAGGAGCCAGGATGCATCTTGGTTGCACAACCAGGTGCATGACCAGGTACAGTGGGGTCTTGACTTGAGAACTTAATCCGTATTGGAAGGCGGTTCTCAAGTCAAAAAGTCTGTAAGTCAAGTCTCCATTGACCTACAGTGCATTGAAAACCAATTAATCCCGTAACAGGCCGTTTTTGTTCCATTTTGGTTTTTTTCTGGTCTGTAAGTCAAATCTCAGTCTGCAAGTCAAACCTAAATTTTGCAGCCAGAGAAGTCTGTAACTCAAAAAGTCTGTAAGTCAAGCCGTCTGTAAGTCAAGGGTCCACTGTATGTAATTGAAATGTGTACTGGCACCTATCAATTAACTACAATTAATTGTACCAAATTATCAACCCTATGTGAATACAAGAGGATTCTGGCCATTTCAATACAGCATATGTAACACAGCAATGGAGGAGGAGGGTAGACAGCCACAAAAACATATTTCCCAGAATTGGCAAGACAGGAATTTTAACCAGAAATGGCCAGCTAAATGTAAAAAAAGTATTATCAGTGCATTTCTTTTCTGGCCCCTGTCTAGGCAACCCCTGACTCTGAAGAATGACTTTCTGGAAGAAATAAAAGACTTTAACCTCCCTTCAATGCCTGACTGGATCTCATGCTCATCCCCCAAACCTCTCCCACTCTTTTCTTTAAAGTTGTAGCACACAACCACAGTAATTGCTGTTTTTAAAGATGTTCCAGACATGCATTCTTCCTTATGCTCAACACAGAACAGATATTCTTAAGTGGATCAGGTGTCTATTTAGTTATTTAACCAATATATCTGATAAAATCTACTGTAAGAAGTTTCATGGCCATGGATTAATTTTTCTGTCCCTTAAAAAAATGCAAATACAATATTGAGCAAATACTCCTGGACTTTATATTAATCTCCAAAATTAATTGTTTCATGTTTCTGAAATCCACTGCCTCTTCCCAAATGGTAATTAGAGACCTGAAAATATCATAGTTAAGTTACTAAGCAGGTGAAACAGCTCTAGAATTAAAGCATGAATGGACAATGCACCTGCAAAATGCCCTAAAACTATTTTGTTTCTAAGATGTGCCTTAATGCCCTCTAGGAAGTGTATAGGTAATTTTGCTACTTGTGTGTTAGGTCTGGTATGTATGGTGTGTGGCCAGCAGCAATTTTCAGTGCTGGGGAAAAATCCCCTTCTACTGCAAAACCAAGAGGACATGCGGACACAGCCCTGCTAAAATAGCTCTGTCCAATCCCAAGAAGGCAAGAAAGACATTTTGGGGTGAAAAACATCTGTTGGGTAGGGAAATAGCTGTAGGTCTCAGGGGGATGGGTGAGTGGGTCCAGGGTTTCACTGAGCACCGTGGTAGCTGCGTGCAGCCTACTGAGTGCTTTTTGCAGGTCACAATGTCTGTGCGTAAGAAAGAGAGAAAGAGAAAGGGAGAGCAATGGATCATGCAAGAGCTGATTACCCATTATGCTGACAGGTAAGGAGATACAGGACTTGCACACAGAGAATCAAATTAATCATATGCATGGAAGAGCAAGAATCAAAAGCTCAGCACACTGTGGGTGGCTGTTAGAATGAGAATTGCTGCATGAAATGCGGTGCCTTGAAGACAGAAACAGACAAGAACTGAGCCAGCTCAAGAATAGATTCTCAAGTAATAAAGATAGGAGGAATCATAACAATGAACCAGGATCAGGATACTAATTAATTAGGATTAACTAGTATTGCAACTCTACTAGAAACTTTCTAATCTCTATGTGAAATTCAGTATTTGAAAAAAACATCCTACAATATCTAAAATATCGCTGAGAAAGGAAATTACTTCTTTATAATATCATACATATTGAAAGATTCAACTGCTTCTTTCGGAAAGCATACATGTATACTTATTGGGTCTAAATCAGGCTCTAAGTTTAGCAAACAACTGAAGTTGAGCAAACAACTGAAATGTGAGTTAAGACCGGAATCCAATCATTATTCTGCATCTTTAAAACCACAGTAGTACAACATTAGTAAAAAATATAATATATAGAATATTATCAGAAAAAAAAGCTTTCTTCTCCATTGCAATACCATAATACATACAAACTCAACTATTTGCCCAATAAGGCACAACTGGTTTCATATCCATTTTTCTCATGGGAAAAAATCATAATCATTTGTAAAGAATCTGATTCTAACCATGCTAATTAAGTATTCAGTAATCAGAACAGGAATCTACCCACTAGTCACTTCCTTAAAACATAAAAAGGAAAATAACCCTTAGCATGATGGTTACTTTTTTACTCATCAGTTATCAGTACAAACTTACCCTTGCGTAGTGCAATTCAACTCCATAGAGTTCTAAGGTTCGGGCTGTACTGAGATAACTGAATTCTGCTTCAGCTGGAGACAAACCTCTATAATGACAAGAACAGTTAAAACATAAAACTGTCCAAAATGCATGTACTGGAACTCTTATCAAAAGATAACATTTCAATATGAGTTTTTAAAATTCTATGAGGACAGACTGAAATAATTGATTCAATGTAAGCAGCACTGCAATTTCCAGGTGTATCTCAACAGAATGCCATTTCAGTTCTCTATATATAAGTAATGAAAGAATTCCTCATTTAAAATGCAGTAACAGGAAGAATCCAACATATGTATCATATAGTTTTACTACAACTTGGTCCCTGAGGTAATTTACCTGTAGATCTTAAAGGAGTCATTCTTTCCGAAAACTGAATGTACACATGCAGTATTCTGGACTATAATTCGGGCAAGCTACTCTGAATTTCACAAATCTAGCTGCTCTCATTATTTAGTCATGTCCGACTCTTCGTGACCCCATAGACCAGAGCACACCAGGCCCTCCTATCTTCCACTGCCTCCCAGAGTTGGGTCAAATTTATGTTGGTTGCTTCGATGACACTGTCCAACCATCTCATCCTCTGTCGTCCCCTTCCCCTCTTGCCCTCACACTTTCCTAACATCAAGGTCTTTTCCAAGGAGTCTTCTCTTCTCATGAGATGGCCAAAGTATTGGAGCCTCAGCTTCAGGATCTGTCCTTCCAGTGAGCACTCAGAGTTGATTTCCTTTAGAATTGATAGGTCTGTTCTCCTTGCAGTGCAGGGGACCCTCAAGAGCCTCCTCCAGCACTATTCAAAAGCATCAATTCTTCGGCGGTCAGCCTTCTTTATGGCCGAGCTCTCACTACCATACATCACTACAGGGAAAACCATAGCTTTGACTATGCGGACTTTTACTGGCAAGGTGATGTCTCTGCATTTTAAGATGCTGTCAAGGTTTGTCATCACTTTCCTCCCAAGAAGCAGGTGTCTTTTAATTTCGTGGCTGCTGTCTCCATCTGCAGTGATCATGGAGCCCAAGAAAGTAAAATCTCTCCCTGCCTCCATATCTTCCCCTTCTATTTGCCAGGAGGTGATGGGACCAGTGGCCATGATCTTAGTTTTTTTGATGTTGAGCTTCAGACCATTTTTTGCACTCTCTTCTTTCACCCTCATTACAAGGTTCCTTAATTCCTCCTCACTTTCTGCCATCAGAGTGGTATCATCTGCATATCTGAGGTTGTTGATATTTCTTCCGGCAATCTTGAATCCGGCTTGGGATTCCTCCAGTCCTTTCGCATGATGTATTCTGCATATAAGTTGAATAAGCTGGGAGACAATATACAGCCTTGTTGTACTCCTTTCCCAATTTTGAACCAATCAGTTGTTCCATAGCCAGTTCTAACTGTTGCTTCCTGTCCCACATATAGGTTTCTTAGGAGACAGATAAGGTGGTGAGGCACTCCCATTTCTTTAAAGACTTGCGATAGTTTGCTGTGGTCCACACAGTCAAAGGCTTTTGCATAGTCAATAAAGCAGAAGTAGATGTTTTTCTGGAGCTCTCAGGCTTTCTGTATAATCCAGTGCATATTAGCAATTTGGTCTCTAGTACCTCTGCCCCTTCGAAATCCAGCTTGTACTTCTGGGAGTTCTCGATCCACATACTGCTGAAGGTGCTCTAGGCGTGTATAATTAGTCATGTAGATCAGTGGTCCCCTTTTTAACACCGAGGACTAGTTGGGGAAGGCAGGGCACACACACCCCGTGCATGCACAAAGAGGCGGGCATGTGCTTGCATGGGCGCACTCACACACATGCAGAAAGGAAAGGGAGGGTGCTTGCGCAGGTTCGCACTCATATGCATGTGCAAAGGGGTGGGGGCGCTCGCACGCGTGCACAATTGTGCACATGCATGAAGGGGCTGCGTGGGGGGGAGTGGGTGAGAGATCTGTCTCCGCAGCCCAGTTGTTGGGGACCCCTGAGTAGATCTTTTAAATGTAATTTGTTTTTATCGCAATGCTTACATATGCTGCTGATGTAGTTTGGATACTTCTTTTTCAAAATCTTGAGGCTGGCCAGGAATAAAGGAGTAGTCTGAGAGGTAACCTGGGAAATTCTCTGAAAGGTTGTAGTCTCCCAGTTCAGCTGAAAATTTAAAAAGAAACATCTTGAGCAACACTCCACCTTGAAGACCTCGCAAAACATGACAAATGATAAAATGTTATCTCTCAAATCTTTCTACAAATAAGTTATTTTAATCCTGAAATTGTACAAAAATATTTAGTAGCAGTAAAAGTTATCTAAGTGAACATTGGGTTAATTTCAACATTCAGTTGGCAGAACTTTCAGCATACTCTTCCCTTCTCCTCCTCCTCCTTGCTTCCTTCCATGCCATTCAAAAACCAGCTCTAAAGATTTTTCAAAGCCTCCCAGACCCCCACAGGCAGTTTTAAAGAAACATGTAAGGCTAGAATAACAGTATACTGCCCACAGCCAGGGCAGACTTGATTTGAATCGGGGGGATGGACTGATTTTTTGAGGATTATCAAAATATAAATTTTTTACTTAGATTATGATCTAAATCAATTTGACTTTTAAAAAATCATTGATTTTTATCCACCCTGCCCACAGCCATCAAACCTTAAATACAAGAAATACAAGAATATTTTTAAATCAGTTGTTTCCATTCTAATGCAGATGGAAGCAATTCTGAGTACATTCTACGGGATCCGAACTCCAAAGCATGCAAGGAATTAAAGGCCTAATAATCTTAATAATCTTATTTTTACTTTTAAAAAATAAATCTTTTTTTAAAACTTTCATGTTAACTACTCTCATGTTAAGACCTGATGTCAGCAGTCACTTTAAAAAGCTATATTACTAATGTAACATTCTAGATTTACATTTTTATTCAAGTCTTGCCAATTTTGGGAGCATCTGCTACTTTTGTGATTGTACAGAGAAACTTAGAGCAAATCCCAGTTAAAGATTTCAAAACAAAATTCTTCTCATAAACTGTTCAAAAGTAAAAATATTCTAAAACTTGTATTCGCAAAGGCTTTCACAGCCGGGATCTAAAGGTTGTTGTGGGTTTTTCAGGGTCTTTGGCCGTGTTCGGAAGGTTGTTCTTCCTACCGTTTCGCCAGTCTCTGTGGCTGGCATCTTCAGAGGACAGCACTCTGTGCTCTGGTGTAGTTGGCTTGGGAGTGCAGTATTTATGGCTGTGAGATAGGCTTTTGTCTTTTTCTGTAGATGGGTGATTAGTGTGTCTTGTTGTGGGTGTATTGTTATGCTAAGGAGAAGAGATTATCTGTCACTGTGGTTGATGGGTGTCATTAGCTGGTCTTTTGTGTGTAGTGATCCCCTGTCCTTGTGGCTGGGCAGAGTTCGTTGACCTTTTGCATGCTGTATTTTTGAGAGCTGGGAGCCAAGTTTTGTTGAGCTTCGCACTTTCCTTGTTTTTGTTGAAGTTCTGCTGGTGCTTGTGGATTTCAATAGCTTCCTTGTGCAGTCTGACATGCACATGAAATTCTATTTCAAAATACTGAAATACTGGACAACACCAGCAATCATTATGTCAGACTCCACAGGGAAGTCATTGAAATCCACAAGCACCAGCAGATCTTCAACAAAAGAGAGGAAAGTGTGAAGCTCAACAAAACTTGGCTCCCAGCTCTCAAAAATACAGCATGCAAAAGGTCAACGAACTCTGCCCAGCCACAAGGACAGGGGATCACTACACACAAAAGACCAGCTAATGACACCCATCAACCACAGTGACAGATAATCTCTTCCCCTTAGCATAACAATGCCCCCACAACAAGACACACTAATCACCCATCTACAGAAAAAGACAAAAGCCTATCTCACAACCATAAATACTGCACTCCCTAGCCACCTACACCAGAGCACGGAGGACTGTCCTCTGAAGATGCCAGCCACAGAGACTGGCGAAACGGTAGGAAGAACAACCTTCAGAACACAGCCAAAGAGCCTGAAAAACCCACAACTATTCTAAAACTATTCACCAGTTTTTAAAATGAAGTATGTGCGTCTGTTTACTTTTAGATCCTTTCCAAATAAGAACAGAACATGAGATCACAAAAACCCCAGCAGTTTCTTAAATTGTCTAATTAGCAATAACAGTTTATGGAATGTGCTAACTTGCAAGGAACAGTGTACCATCCCAATATGTTCATTATTGCTTAAATGACATAAGCTTTAAAAGGCAAAACACTGCAAATGTATGTAATCCAGTTAATATTTACATGAATAGACAGCTATGTTTTGCTAACAAATAATCATGGTGAATTTTTACTCTCTGGCTCCCACCATAATTTCGGGGGGGGGGCACACTGGCCTGACAAAAATAAGTGACAATTAGAGTAGGCCCAATGAATCAATGGAATTTATAAATGTGTTGACTCACCAAATCCCCACTAATTCAATGAACCTAACTCTATTTGAGATTTACTACTGGATTTCAACCAACATATGTATAGTGCTTTCCACTGAACAGGTATGACAGGTCCCAACTCCATGGGATTTACAATCTAAATCCTTTTGGTGGCTGCTTGTGGGTTGTAGAACCTTCCAAGGCAGGTTAGACTAGGCCCTTCCCCTGCTGTCCTTTCAAGAAGGGGGGGGAGCCTTTTAGGCTTCTGAAAACTGAATGACTTCTAAGGAATGGGCTATTAATATGGATGCAGCACTACTACTTTTATTTCTGGTATGTTTTAAAATTTCTTTAAATTCAGTTGCTTTAGTAAGATAATCCACCGAATTATATTTCAATATTTCAATACATTTGTTTAATTGTGATACAATTTAGAAGAACCGTGGCTTAGCATCATCATTATTATTAAGCAGTCACAGAAAAACAAAAAAAGGAGAAGTGGAGGTACAGACAGCAGTTAACAATTATGGACAAACAGGACAAGAATATGTGATAGCTTCAGTTACATCTACATTGGCTTATAATAAATTACAGGCTAAGATAACGTACACTAGCTAGCACTGAGAACACGTAGTTTTAAAGACTCCAAATGAAAAAACTCCTGAACCATGACCACTATTCAGTTAGTTAGGAACTGTAGAAAGAAAAATAGAGGAGTGTGAAATAGGATGATGAAAATAAATCATATCTGGGGAGAAGAGGATGTCATATTTAAGAAAATGTATTTCAAGCAGTGTCCCACATCCTAAATGTTAATGCAGTTTAAATGATTCCATCTTAACATTTTACATTCCTTTCTGCAGTAGCATACTAGCCTGTTTCTCCAAAAATAAGACCTAACCTGAAAATAAGCCCTAGCATGATTTTTCAGGATGCTTGCAATATATGCCCTACTGCCAAAATAAGTCCCAGTTAAGTGAAACCCTGCTCTCCACCATTGTGCAGCATTGTGCAGCAACCAGAAGAAGATGACATGCCTGTATTTGAATAAATGTAGATTGTTGTATATGAAACAAAATAAAACATCCCCTAAAAATAAGCCCTAATGTGTATTTCGGAGCAAAAATTAATATAAGACCCTGCCTTATTTTTGCGGAAACATGGTATTACAACTGTGCATCCACTTACTATATTGTAGCTTCATTAAATAGAGTCAAAGTATAAGGTTGCATTGCAGATTGTAATTTTATACAGTTTATAAATTCATCTACTTTATAATAATAATGTGCCATTAAGTACATTCTGACTTATGTCAAACTTTTTCAGGGTTTTCCAGCTAGAGAGTATTCAGAGATTGTTTACAATTCCTTTCTTCTGAGGGCATCCTGGATCTATACAACTTGCCCAAGGCCACATAAGCTGGTTCTACTTGCAGGAGGCACAGTGGGAAATCAAATGCCCAGCTTCTAGCTCCACAACTAGATACCAAAGCCACTGAGTTATCCAGACAGCTCATCTACTTTATACAATACTATAAGGTAAAATATATCTGTGAAGATTCTCAGTCATCCAGGTGAAGTTATCTAGAAGCTGAGTCATGGCAACTGGACTTCTTTCTTACTAGGTTGAAATGTTTCACTACTCATCCAAGTAACCTCAGTCTGAGGAGAGTTAGGAGTTGATATATCCTCCATCTTAGTTTCAGAAATGTTTCACTACTCATCCAAGTAACTTCAGTCTGAGGAGAGTTAGGAGTTGAAATATCCTCCATCTTAGTTTCACTTCCCCCTGGTCTGAACAGGCTCATTAGCTGGACAAAGTACAATGGTGTCTTGCAAGACAAATGCCTCGCAGGACAAAAAAACTCGCAAGACATATGGTTTTGGAAATGAGGTTGATGATTCGGATGACAAAAGTTCCTATGGCCATGCTTCGCAAGAAGAATTTTTTCCATTTTTTGCTCTTGCCTCATGTTTGCTGGTTTTTAAATGTTTTTCTATGATGTTGAAAAGGTAGTTTTTTGATTGAATTTTTTTGAAATCATCTGCACAATATATATGGCTTTAAAGAGCACTTAATAAACCTTTGTAAACCAAATTTGACTTTGTTCTCACTTTTTTGCCCATAGGAATGCATTAATTAGATTTCAATGCATTCCTATGGGAAAACGCGTTTCGCAAGATGAATTTTTCGCAAGACAACATTAACCGTGGAACGAATTAAATTTGTCTTGCGAGGCACCACTGTACTGAGGGTGAGTATTAGATGGACAAAGTACTGAGAGTGAGTGAAAAGCCCACTTCTGCAGTTCTTCTCTTCTCCACTCATTATCATGGGTTGTCAACAGTAGTTAACAGTGGTCTTTCTGGTGTGTAGTCCTGATCTTTCTGGGAATGGATGAAAGGGCAGCATGATAAATAGGACACAGATTGTATCTAAAGCCTCCACTCCTATTGAGTGAGGTATCTTCTATATGCATATGTATGGCCTCCCTGACCCCTCTCTCAAACCATCTATTTTCTGAGTGCAAAATGAGTACATCTTGCTCATCTGTCCCCAGAAAGATCAGGCCCACATGCCAGAAAGAACACTGTTAACAATTGTTAATTACCCATGATAATGGAGAAGGACTGCAGAAGTGGACTTTTCACTCACCCCCAGGTCCTTTGTCCATCTAACGAGACTATTCAGACTAGGGGGAAGTGAAACCAACCTGGAGGATATATCAGGGTTCTCCTACCAACTCTCCTCAGACTGAAGAAGCTACTTGGATGAGTAGTGAAAAATTTCAACCTAATAAGAAGTCTAGTTGCCATGACTCAATTTCCAAATAAAGTAAAATGTATCTTCTCTCCCAATCCAGCTATAAACAATGCACAATTGAGAAGGCAAAAAGAACAGCAGAAATTTAAAGCATAATTTAACATTTATTACAAATTAAGCTTGGATATCATTGTACTTACACTGAACAGCATAGGAAGCCAAGAGTGCAGCAGTATTATAAGGGCAGGGTAATCTGTAAAGTGAAAAAAGAAACACACACATACCGTATTTGCCGGCGTACAAGACAACTTTTTTGGCCCAAAAAACATGCCTCCAAGTGGGGGGGTTGTCTTGTACGCCGGGTGCACTTCATTTGGGTCAGGAAGGAGCCGCCACCGCCATTGAGTAAGTGACGTGGGGCCGCGCTGGCCAGGGAGGAAGGCAGTTGGGCAGGCAGGCAGCCTGTCCGGATGGAGGGAGGGAAGCAGAGCCGGCCATGCTTGAGTGGCCAGAGCCGCCCCGCGCCGCTGAGCCACCCGCCCAGCCGCTTCCCCTCTTCCTCGCCCTCTCGCCGCTGAGCAAGCTGCTCACTCGCCCAGCCACTTCCCCTCTTCCTCGCCCTCTCGCCGCTGAGCAAGCTGCTCACTCGCCCAGCCACTTCCCCTCTTCCTCCTCCTCCTCTTCCTGCCGCCACCCGCCCTCCTCATTGTCGCCGGCCATGAACTTCCAGGGCGCGCCCAGGCAGAGCCCAGGCAGCCACCACCGCCGCCGCAGCAGAGCCGTCCACTCCATATTTTGAGTGGAAATGTTGAGAGGTCATCTTATATGGCCAGTTGCCTTGTACGCCGGCAAATACGGTACTCAGACATTTACAGATTTGAAACCATCTGATTTAACTGCCTATTTCAACCACACATGAAAACTGATTTGTATCATCAACTGTGCAATTTCCCTTCTAAAATAGGCAAATATACAAAGATGTTGCACTCTTTAAATTTTACATGTTGCACTCATTACATTTTACATACTAGTGCGCTTTAAATAGGAAATCATGCCATAAATTGGCACCCAAAGGGTTAAAATTATGATACATGCAACTATTTAGACAGCACTCAACATATGCACCTTCACAGCTATTTGCATAAATGAGTAAACAGTTAATGCATGCATTCTATCTGCTGATTTCCCTTTTGATCTTCCCTTCTGTTGTGATCACAAAACAAAGCAGGAAGGATTTCTTTTGCATTATCATTCAAACTAGGATTCCTGGTTGCCATTTTCAAAATAAACACAGAAGTCATGAACTACCGTATTTGTCCATTATAAAACAACACTTTTTCTTAAAATAATTAGAGGAAAAACTGAGGGTTGTTTTATACACAGAAGTAAGGAGGGGGGAAGGGATCAAAGCGTGTTGATCCCTGCTTTCCCCCTCCACCTTTTACAAAGAAAGTGGAGGGAAAAAGCACCCTCTCCATTTTCTGTGCAAAAAGTGGAGGGGGAAAGCAGCTTTTTGCAAAGAAAGTGGAGGGGGAATTCACTTTTCTCACAAGAAAGTGGAGGGAGAAAGTGATTCCTGCTTTCCCCCTCCACTTTCTTGTGAGGAAAGTGCTTTGCCCCTCCACTGTCTTTGCAAAAAGTAGAGGGGAAAGCACTTTCTTGCAAAGAAAGAAATTTTGGGTTAAAAAAGTGGTGGTGTGTGTCTTATACATCGTGGCGTCTTATACATGGAAAAATATAAGTCAAAACTCAGTCTACATCCAAGCTGTATTACTCTTGATGGGGAAGAAAGGAATTATAAAACAAACATGCGCGTGCACACCACATAGGCTGACTGTATAGATTCATCATCTGTTGTGATCCATAATCAAAATTGCACATAAATCCCAAGTATGGGATATGAAGTTTGTCACTGAAAACAAATCTACAGTAAGCTTTGTGTTACAGGTCTTCAGTTCACCACAGGATGGGCATATGGAGAAAGGTTCCACTTATCTATTGTTATATTACTGTAGCATTAGATCATTAGGTTTCTACAAGACTCTCCATCATCCCCCCACCCCAAATGATCTAACACTTACGCAATTGTCTACAAAAAATCTACTCGGCAAACAAATCTTACCTTCCAGTAAGAATGTCTTGTTTAATTTGCAAAAAATACTGGTACCTTAAAGAAAAAGGAAACACAGAACAAGCTGAAAGGTTACTACTTCATTTTTAAAGAACAAAATTAAGATCACCTTTTAACTTCAACATGTTTTTCACCATACTGCTTAAGGGAAAGGCAAAGAAATTCAAAGGAGTTATAGAAACATCAGCAATTATTGCTGTGAAACATACAAGCTGTTTTCAGTGAATATGTAGACAAATACAGGATGTACTAATATTGATACTACATGTACTTCTCGTACACATAGAAAATTTTAATCCATCAAATCAAGACAAATGCTAAATATCTTCATCTGGAGTGCTGTGATAACAGGAAACAGCAAACTTTTTCAGAAAGTATCGTTTTAAACTATTTCCTTTTCCTAGTCTACAACAATGTGTGTACAAATTCCATACTACAATCTTTAAGCCGCCTCAGAAGAATGAAATTAACTTGACTAGTCAATCTAGTATCCATAACCACCATCACCAATAATCTACAGTACTCAGATTTGACTTGAATAAAGACAAACTTTATTTGTGAGTGTTCATAAACATTTGGCCCTTTAAAGCCCCTGAATCTCAAATAATGTTCTTCTTAAAGTTACCAGCTGAGATTGGATTTCTAAGCATATCTACCAATGTTTACTCATTGGCTTCCTGGAGCTGCCAATGAAATCTGAAAGGCTGAACTGAATGCAGCCTCTACTAAGGATCCCTCCCCCACTTTAACAAACTAATAGAGCCTAGCCTTGCATTAGAATTAGAATTGAGAAAGCATCTAGTGACATAAATAGTCCTTCAAAACATACACTGTAATGCAGGGGTCGCCAACACCTGGCCCATGGACTGATGCCAGGCCATGGCCTTTGAAGGACTGGGCCACTGAGACAGTTCTTTGAGGGCCGAAGGAATGTGCGTACATGCATGGATGCCCTTCACCCCCCCTCCTGGTCTTTGGGAGAATGGTCTTCAACTAAACCAGTCCTTGGTGTTAAAAAGGTTGGGGATCACTGTTGTAATGGATTCTATGATAAATGTGACACTTCAAAAAAGAAGCTTTCATTGGAAAAAAGAATGTCCAACAAATCATAATTTCCAAAGAAGGAAGCAAATCAACACCATTTGAATACTGCCATGGAAGTATATCTCACTTTGAAAATGATTTTTTTAAAAATTGCTTCATGATCTCTTGAATTTCTTTATTTTAAATAATTCTTTAATTATTAGTATCATGGCAGGTATGAAGTCAAGGCTTTGAGGTTGTGATTTCTCACTGTGGATATCATAAAAAATGATGTCTTTTTCAGGGGAAGGAGGTTCTTCGACCTGGAGCTTAAGTGCGGAAGCCATGTGAGAGATAAGATGTGAATACAAAATAAAGTCCTTTGATGGAGAGGATGGGCCCATGTCGATAGGATCAGATTCAGGAGCAGGTATATTGGCAGGAGATTCTGGTGATGACTCGGTATCAGTATCTTGATCTGAGGCCGATGGAGTAGGCGAGGTGTCATCATCTGAGCGAGAAGTCATTTGAGAAGCATGTATTGTAGATGAGACAGGTTGGGGTACCACAGTCGATGTGACATGACGTTCCTTAAAGGAATGCTTAGCTTGCCTTAATAGGTGGATGCCTGTAGTGTGAGAATGATGTTTCTTCAATGTCGAAAGCGATGTCAATGCTGAGGGGGCTATCTGAGGTTTTGATGTCATTGTGGAAGGCAGAACAGCTTCATGGTGAGATATGGACCGTTTTGCTGACGTTGTTTGGGAGAAACCCTGGTATGCTTCCATTTGAAATTGGTTGGCAAAGGGGGAAAAATTTCCATGCCAAATTGTTGAAAGGCAAGCTGCTGGTAAGCTGGGAAAAATGGAAACTGGTAGCACTGACCAAATTGAGACATAGGAGTAGATGGTTCAATATGTTTCCTTTTTTCCCTTCGCTTCTTTGGAGACTGAGGAGGAGTTTCAGGCTCAGACGGCTCGGTTTCAAAAGCCCATCCTGATGTTGGGCTCGAATGGGCAGTGGCTGGACTGGATGGAAACTCAGTCCCAATGTGGCCAGTGGAGGGAGAGAAGCTACCAGCCATGACTGGAGCTTGTGCCGAGGGAATATGCACCTCATCCCTTTCCACTACAGATCCTGGAGCCTCAATGGAAGATTCCTCCAGTATCGGAGAGGGTGGACACTCTCCGGGCAGATCCAGGCGAACAGATTTAAATTTCTTAGTCTTTTTGGCAACAGGTTTTTCTTTCTTTTTCTTAGATTGCTCGTGCTCCTTTGGGGCTTTAGATTTAGAAGCCCTAGAAGTATTGGAGCCTTCCTTGGAATGGGGTGAAGGAGTAGAATGCCCCGGGGTGGCGGATGAAGTGTGCCGCGACGGAGCTGCTTCTGGATGTGGAGCCTCACTGGGAGCCACTGCAGCAGGGTTCATGGCGGCTTCCCAAAGGTGAGACCTCAATCTTTGGAGCCTGTGTTTTAGAGTGGGTTTGGTAAAACTTTTACAAGCCGCGCAGGACTGGCTTCTCAACAGGTACTTCCAAAGTCTTAGAGGCAGGCACTTGAGAGGAATTTCCTTCACTGCGGGAGGTGGCCGAGGAAGATGGAATTTCCATAGCTGCCGGTTGGGACAAAGATAAAGCTGAGTCCCAAAGATGTAATTTTAGTCGCTGCTGTCGCGCCTTTAAGGCAGCCTTGGTAAACGCTTCGCAATGTTGGCAATTCTGAGAAGAATGCGCTTCCCCAAAGCAAAAAAGACAAGTGTTGTGCCCGTCGTGGTAGGGGATCTTAGCGGAGCAGACAACACAGCGACTGAAGGGCCCGGAGGGTGGAGGGGGCATAGGCGAGCCTGTAAGGCAGCCAGTAAAAAGGGCGGGAAAATGGGAAAAGCTCCCAAAGGAAGCAAAGAAACGCCAAATCCGAGTCCAAAAGGCAAGAGAATAGTCAGTAAACACGCTAAGGTCAGGATAAAAAAAAACAGGAGGAAAAAATGAAGTTTTGAATGAATTAGCAAGAGCTCTAGCCGAGAAGAACCACTTCACACGGCGGAGAAATGGAACTGAGGCTTGGGCGGCCGGAGCATGCGCAGTGTAGGCAGCCTTAAACTATGTTTCTTTTTCTACAGAGCTCGAGAACATTCCGAGGAGACCAGCGCTGGCGCTGATTTAACCCTTTTGTGTGCATTCACAGAAGACCACGATGAAGAACCATAATTTCCAAAGAAGGGAGCAATTCAACACCATTTGAATAGTGCCATGGGAACATATCTCACTTTGAAAATGATCTTTAAAAATTGCTTCATAATCTCTTGATAAAATCTTATTGAAATTCACCTCAGATTTTCAAAGAGCTTAACACTTTCACCTAAGAAATAAGGGAATAACTGCTATACTGAAGTATGGAACAAAAGTAAAGACTGTGTGCTATAATTATTAAGCACTTTGTGCTCAGCAGCATGATCATGCCACTCTACTAGCATTATGGCTAACCCCCCAATGTGTGTGTGGCAATGAATACTTTATAAATATTGCCCCAAATCCTCTTGCACAACTATGCTAACATAATGCTAACAGCATAAATATAGCAGTTGACTGCCTCAAGTTAAGACTTCAACACAGACATTATCTGTTGCTTCTGGAGTTGTGGAACTCCATACATCAGATAACATCCACACATCTTCACAATTTGACACAATTTGCCTCGAAAGATTATGTCACTAGTGTTACGACAGCATAACTGTGATGACAGATTTTGGACATTATACCGTAAGGTTCACCCTAATATTTTCTGAAAGCCAAATTCAAATAACTGAAAGTTATTCATCCCTTTGAGCAAATTTAGCAGCAGCACAGATCTGCAGAGTTAATTTATGTACCACTCACGCAAACACTCTTCAAACTGCTATAATTTCAGAAGAATGATTTATATCTAAAAAATATAACTAAAAACTTCTAGTATATTTAAGTAGACCATTATGGTATTTCCAAGGATATATTGGAAATCCTGGCCTCATCATATATTTTTGAACTGATAGACCAGAAAGAGATTAAATAGCTGTTGTTTAAATTCCACTTCCAACCACTTCTGTACTGGAAAACCTACCAATACAGAGCTACAGCAATGAATGCTGAGACCTTCAAGGGGAACCCATTTAACAAAACCCACCTTTCATCAATACATCTTGCCACTTGTTAAAGATATAATTTGAATGAGTGAGTGCTGTTTTAATTATCAAAATGCTTGACTATAAGCAATATAAAATAGTAATATACAATAATTTAAATTAATATATAGAACTCAAGTCATAAACAATCTCTAAGTTTTAGTTATGCTTCTTTTGAAAATAAGCTATCACATATATACACATTTTATCTCCCATGCAATCACCCTTCCATGGCAAAACATTAACACAGTAAAGGAAGAGAGAGTCTGATACCGTGTGTATTCTTCTTGAAGCTTACTAGGATCGCTTACAAAAAATTTGACTCTGAAGTTCAAACTGTGAGGAGATCCTCCTAAAAAAAACCAAAATATCTGATTAGACTGTTTTTATATCTATTTTTTATTTACTAATTAACAAAAAAGTCATTTACAAAAACAAAAAAAAATATTTTGCTCACTCTTTAACTGTTTCCTGATTGGCTTGTTTGGATCCAGCCACCTCTGGGGGAAAAAAAGATTAACTCATTTTATTTCCTCTAATAACAAACATCATTATTGCAGCCATCTCAATAAGACAAAGTAGATCAATATGCATGCACATACGAATGTGGATTGGCTTTTTTTAAAAGTGATTTTATTTATTTATTTTATTTATAAAGTTTATATACTGCCCAACTTAGTGAGGACACTATTCAGGGCAGTTTACATAGCATAGAACAGACCTGGGCAAAGGGCAGCCCAAGGGCCACATACAGCCCGTGAGCCGCTCCTGTCCAGCCTGCCAGTCGTCGTTCCAGTCAGGTGTTCAAGCACTTGTTCAAGCCCAAGACAGACTGGATTTCTCTCACTGAACAAGTTTAGCATCAAAACCATTCATAGCTTTTTGTCTAAAGTTGAGCAGTTGCTTATCTTTAACGTATCACAAAAAAAACCAGACAATAGCTACAGATCCTCCAGCAATTATTGCATAAAAGCACTTCAAACACAAGTTTGCTACATTACAGTGCAAAGCAGCACTTGAACTACACACTAGAGGGAGCATAAGAGAGGTGAAAGAAAAAAGAAACACATTTAATCTATAGTGGTGCCTCGACTTACTAACATATTGACTTGCAATCAATCTGAGCTACATCCAGCTCCAGCTGCAAAATTTTGTTTTGACTTGCCACCCGAGCTTTGAAATATGACTGGAAAAAAGGTGAGGAAAAAGGCGGGAAATTTAAATTGCTAACCATTGGTCAGCGAAGAGGATGCTTCTCTGTAGCTCTTTTGCTCCAGCAGTTACAGAGTGCATTCGGAGGAGGCTACAGACTGCTTGGTACTGCTTTCTGAAATGCCTGTTCTGAGTGAGTACAGGGTTTTGCAGCATGGGTTTGGCCTGGGGGGGGTTATGTTTCTGTGTTCTGACGTGCCTTGCAGTGTGTGTGTTTTTCGGTGTGTTTTTCCCCCAGCCAGAACGGATGCAGTGTTTGTTTGTTTTTCAATGTGTGTTTGTTTTTCCAGCCAGAACGGATTAATTGCATTTCCGATGGGTCTTGCAGTGGTTTTTGTTTTTCGGTGAATTTTTTTTTCAGCAGGAACGGATTACTCGCCTTTCTATGTATTCCTATGGGAAATGGTGTTTTGAGCTACGACCAACTTGAGCTACGACCATCTTCCAGAACCAAATAAGTTTGTAACTCACGGCAGCACTGTAACTGCCAGTTTACTCCAGGTACAACTGTGTGTTGCTGTTTTAAATAAAAATGATTCTCTTTTAATGTCAGGATTAATGAAGTATAGGTTCATTCTGGAACCTATACCATTTCAACTGGAAATCTCATAAAAATAATTCATAAAAATTATGGGTTTGCAAGAACCACAATTTAAACCTCGGTTCGGCAAACAAACTAGTTCATGTCTGAAAACAGGTATACCTATGTTTTTTTCCCAGAACTGGGTGAATTTTCAAGCACTGTAGATCCTTTGAGGAATCGCATTTTGGCTAGTAGACACAGGGAGCTTTCCAGTCTTCTAAATTCTAATATATACAGTCATGTGAAAAAGAAAGTACACCGTCTTTGAATTTTATGGTTTTATATATCAGGATATAATAAAAATTATCTGGTCCTTTGCAGGTCTGAACACTAGGTAAATACAACCTCAGATGAACAACAACACATGACATATTACACTGTGCCACTATTTTTTAACATAAATAAAGCCAAAATGGAGATACCATACATGAAAAACAAAGTACACCCTTACTGCTTCCAAAGGAATCAAGAGACAAAGTATTAGTCAGATGCTGCTAACCAAATACCCTTGAGGAATTGATTATCAGCAAGTGTGAACACCTGTATAAAAACTGAAGTTTCAGCAGTTTGCTGGTCTGGAGTATTCAGGCGTGTGTTAACACAATGCCAAGGAGGAAACACATCAGCAATGATCGTAGAGAATCAACTATTGCTGCCCATCAATTTGGGAAGGGTTACAAGGCCATTTCCAAACAATTTAAAGTTCATCATTCTACAGTTAGGAAGATTCTTCACAAGTGGAAAATATTCAAGACAGATGCCAATCTTCTCTGGAGTAGATGTCCAAGAAAATTCACCCCAAGCCGCCTAGAGTGGTCTTAATTGACTAGATAGGCGGGATATAAATAGAATAAATAAATAAATAAATAAAATAAGGTCAGACCGTGCAATGCTCAGAGAAACTGCAAAAACCTCAGACTCTACAGGCCTCAGTTAGCATGTTAAATGTTAAAGTTCATGACAGCACAATTAGAAAAAGGCTGAACAAGTATGGTCCGTTTGGAAAGGGCTGCAAGGAGAAAGCTTCTTTTCTCTAAAAAGAGCATGGCAGCATGGGGTAGGTTTGCAAAGTTACATATAGATAGACCACAAGGCTTCTGGAACAATGACCTTTAAACAGACGAGACCAAAGTGGAAATGTCTGGACATAATTCACAGCACCATGTTTGGCAAAAACCAAACACAGCTTATCAGCACAAACACCCCATACCAATTGTCAAGCATGGTGGTGGAAGGGTGATTTGGTCTTGTTTTGCGGCTACAGGACCTGGGCACCTTGCAGCCATTGAGTAGACCATGAACTCCTCTGTAAACAAAAGTATTCTAGAGTCAAATGTGAGGCCATCTGTTCAACAGCTAAAGCTTGGCCAAAACTGGGTCATGCAACAGGACAATGATCCCAAGCATACCAGCATATTTATAGTAGAATGCTGAAAAAGAAAAGAATCAAGGTGCTGCAATGGCCCAGTCTAAGTCCAGACCTCAACCCAATTGCAACCTTAAGAGAACTGTGTATAAACAAATGCCCACAGATCTCAATGAACAGAAGCAACGTGGTAAAGAGTGGGCCAAAATTCCTCTACAACGATGTGAGAGACTGATAAAGTCATACAGAAAACGATTACATAAAAGTTACTGCTGCTAAAGGTGGTTCTATAAGTTATTAAATCATAAGCTGCACTTAGTTTTTCACACATAGTTTCTCCATTTTGGCTTTATTTTTGTTAAGTTAATCATGGCACAGTGTAATATAGGCACCTTTATTTTATATGCATCTGAAGAACTCTCCTACTAAACATCTAGGCATTGCGAAGATTCAATGGTTAAAGGATTTTGGCCATTATTCCAGATGAGAGAGGAATGGGACTAAGGAAAATGAACGAACATAAACTGTGATAAAAACACAGAGAGGAAAAACAAAAAGGAATGAATAGTGGACCAGTTGCAGGACTTCAGATGCAAAGACCGGTAATCAGAAAGAACAAAAAGCCACATGTATCCTGTTTAAAATAACATTTTTTTCTAGGAAGCTGTGCTTGCCCAATTCTGCCTCTGTCTGCAATTATGAACCAAATGATGTATTATTGACTTTATGTAGAACATTTAAGGATTACCTTCTAGGCCATTGATTTCCAAGCCGTACATTTTGCAGACTGAGAAAAGGCTTTATCACCACAAAGGATCTGTCATCTAAGCCTGTGCACAATCTGTAGGAGTATTTTTATAAAAACCAGTACACAAAGGGCCTATGTTGTTCTAACAAGTTCCTTGATAGTGTAATCTGAGAAATGTGGTGATGTAGAAATTATGTTTCTTCTCCTTGTTAGATTTTGAACAAAGATCAAAATGCAACCAAATTATTAGACTAGCAACACAGTGAACAAAACTTGGTAGTTAAGATGTTGAAACTTATATGCTTTTATAGTGCACAGAGTATTTTTGACAATAATAAAATTAGAAGAGAGCAAGAGGGGCCTGTTTACTCAGCAACAGCAAACAGAATAGGTTGGATATACTATAAAAACTGAACAAGAAAGCTATCACTCAAAGAAAAAAGCTATTTAGGTTAAGAGAGATTACAGACTGAAAAACAGATGGATGTCCTTTAATATATTTTAAATGGGCATCAGGAAGAGCTTTCTAACTAAGAGCTTTCAGTACATTCTGTACTGACTGTACAACTGACAGTCTTCTAAGAACATTTGATGAGAGGATATGTTTTAAAAAGGATGTAGGGTATCATATGAAAGATGTCCAATGAATCGGAATGGGGCCACATATACAGCTCTTGAGTTTTGAGAATCCTACCTATAGGTCAGTTTTTGTTAAATTCAGAATTATATGTGATTCCCTGTGCTTACTTTCCAGCAGAATCTAAACTGTATTGAAACTGAGTAGGAATGAGGGGGTGGCAACAAAAAGAAAGAAAAACTGTTTATGTGAAAACCTGCTTTCTGAGGCACAATTATTAACAATATTAAAAGAGTGGGACAGAAAGGAATAAAACAGAAGAAAGCTGATTCTTATGAAAGGGAGCTGGGACAAGAAGGAGACTATGGTCCAGAAAGGTCATAGTCACTGTCAATCAGGGAATTCTTCAGAACAGGACAATTCACACAGAATTTTGAAATACTCATGTACCTTTATTTTTAAAAGGCTTTTTAAAAATTCTATTGGTTGTATTAAATATGACAGAGAAGATAACGGCTGTATTTGCATAAGGGGTGAAGCTGCTTAGCATCTCCAATTGTCTTCTGAACAATAATTTGGTAATCCAAATGCAAAAGCCCATGTGTTGAGGAAACATGAAACATATAGCTAAAATCTGCTCCTGGCATTCTTTAGCAGCTGTCAGGGCTCTAGTATTCCGAAAATGCTCACCTTTAATTCTGCCCTGCACACAGCTCAAAGAAACAAGATATAATGACCCTAGGATGTGGTCCTATTTTACCATTATTGTAGACAACCTTAGCAGATCCTACCAATAGGGGAAGTGGCCCACTAACTGCCATTGATGCGCCCAGAATACTACATAGCTGCCATTTTCTTTAGAGTGGCAAGAAAAATGGCAGAAATATCACCAGAGAATGATGACCGATGCCTAACTGCTGGTTTGTTTTTTCTGTTTTTTTAGATACTAGCACATTTCTTCCAAGACTGGTAGATGAATGCTAGAGATGGGCACAAACCATGCTTTGGTGGTTC